AACGCACATGTGAGGCCCCTCATCCAGCCCCCCGCAGCGAACCAGGCATCATCGCACACACAGCCACAGCCACGGCCTCGTCCGCCTCACCTGAGGCCTCCCGTGCCGCGCGGCCCGCCCAGGCTGCCGTCCAACCACGTCGGCGATGGTGCGAGGGGCCAGAAGCGGCCACTCCCCAATGAGGGAGGGCGGAGTGAGGACGGTCCTGGTGGGGCCAGTAGCGGCGCCGGTGTGCGTGGGATGGTGGCGATGGGTGGAGGGCAAGCTGCTGCCGCTGCCGCTGCTGGCGGTGGTGGTGGTCGTGGTGGTGGTGGTGCAGTGGTGGCTCCTGTGAGGCGGATGTCTGCGATCCTGCATGAGGAGCGGAGGTGGGGAGGGGCACTCGAGTGGGATGACGAGGTCGCACGGCTGAACAGAGAGGTCTTCGGGAACGCCACCTTCAGACCCAAACAAGTGGGTAGGTCGGTGGGCAGGCGGAATAGACCAAGGCACGGCAAGCATGCACACGTAACTGACTGTTTTCCTTCTTGTGGTGTGGTGGGGTTTGTGCGCGTTGCAATGCAGCGTGAGGTCATTAACGCGGTCTTGTCGGGGCGGGACGTCTTTGTGCGCATGCCGACGGGCGGCGGCAAGAGCCTCTGTTTCCAGTTGCCGGCACGCTACTCGGATGGCCTCACTGTGGTCGTGATGCCTCTGATCGCACTCATTCAGGTCTGTGCCTTCCCTGCAGGCCCACCCCACCCGCCCCGCCCACATGCAACACCCAACATGTGTGTGTGTGGGGGGCTGATGTTGCAGGACCAGGTCTCGAGTCTGGCTCAGAAGGGTGTGGGAGTGACGGCCCTCTTAAGCACACAGGCGTTTAACGACCAACTCAAAATCTTGGACAAGTTGTAAGCGAACCCCTCTGCCCCGCCCACCTACACACATCACATCACACGGATGAGCAGCAGCAGCGGCACATAAGTGTATTTGTCCGTCCATCAGGGAGGATCTCAGCTTGCTGTTTCTCACGCCCGAGAAGCTCTGCCGGTCCACGACTGTCCAGGGGGCACTCGCTCGCCTGCACCAGCAGGGCAAGCTGAGGAGATTCGTCATTGATGAGGTACGGGTGACCACATGCACCCAAAGCCCCCCCTCCTCCCAACACACACTCGCGTGAGCACCTGATGACTGCAGGCGCATTGTGTTGTCGAGTGGGGCAGCGACTTCCGCCCTGATTACACCGAACTCAAGAAGCTGCGCAACGGTGGACGATCCACACGCACACACACACACACACACATACCAGAGGCGCCAGCCACGGCCTCTTCCCCCTTTCACACCCTGCGCAGATCTGTTCCCGTCTGTACCGCTGATGGCGTTGACGGCCTCCGCCACCCCCGACATGCAGCACGAGATCATGCATCAGCTCATGATGCACCCGTCCGTCGGCACGGTGGCCTCGACGCCCACATCGGGCAGTGAGAACATGACCGTCGAGTTCCACGCCTCCTGCATTCGGGACAACCTCAAGTAGGCAGCGGGCAGCGAGAGAGAGGGGGAGGGGGGGGATAGCGTGAGGCGCGCTATGAGTGTGTTTGCGTTTGTGTGCGTGTGTGTGCGTGCGTGATAGGTATGTGGTGCTGCCTAAGAAGGTCGCGTGGAAGGATTCCGTGGCCGCCATCATCCGCAAGTACTTCGACAGACAGTGCGGAATCATCTACTGGTCGGTGGGGCTGTGTCGCTGGGCGGGGGTGGGGTGAAGGGTTGGAGGATGCAACGTGCATGGATTCTCTGGCGGGCGGATGTGTGTGTTTCTCTCTCCTTCTCTCTCCTTCTCTCTCGCTCTCTGTATGTCTGTTCTGTGTGCGTCCATGCAGTTTGAGCCGTCCCAAGTGCGAGGAGCTGTCGGATCACCTGAAAACCAAGGGCATCGAGGCCGCCTACTACCACGCCCAGGCAAGACATGAACACAACAAACACGTGCACACAAATGAACCAACACGATGCCCACACACACACACGCCCATGCTGTGCGTCTGTTGGGTCTCTTGTATATCTAGATGACCCCAGAGAAGCGCACCGACAAGCAGAAGGAGTGGATGAACGGCACGTGTCACGTCCTCGTGGCCACCTCGGCGTTCGGCCTGGGCATTGGCAAGCCTGACGTGCGCTTCGTCATACACGCCTGCATCCCCAAGAGTCTCGACACCTACTACCAGGAATCCGGGCGTGCCGGCCGCGATGGGTACGCTCAATACGTTCAGACACACCCAATGTGGTGTGCCGTACTGATGGGTTGGAGGGGTGGATGGATGTGCGCCTGCCCTGTCTGTGTGCAGGCAGCTGGCGACGTGCGTGTTGCTGTACGATTGGAAGGACAAGCACAGGGCGCAGCTGCTGATGCAGAGCCCTACCAGCAGCAGCAGTGCCATGTAGGTCAATCAGTCCGTGTACCCACCCACAGGGACAGAAACGACGCACCTCCCTCCCTCCCTCCCTGTCTGTCTGTCTGTCTGTGTCGGTTATTCAGCGTAGCAGATGAGGCCGGCACGACTCGTGCCGGGAGGTCCATCGCGCTGCTCCTCAGCATGTGTCGATACTGCGAAGAGCACCACACTTGTAGACGACAGCATATCGCATCGGTAGGCACATGACCCATGACTGACAGAGCAGAACGGACCAACCACCGCCTTCTCTCTGTCCATGCCATGGGTCAGTGCAGCATTATGGTGAGGCCGATCCAGCGTCGTGCGAGGTGCCCCAATCACTCAGCCACGACAGCGATGACGCCGACTTGGCCTCTCTCACGGCGTGTGACAACTGCATCGCTCGCCACATAGCCTCCAAGTCCAAGACTAAGAAGCCCAAGGCCAAGGCCAAGGCCAAGGCCAGGACCAAGGAGCCGCCCAGACGGAATTGGGTGGTCAAGGAGGACAGAAACGGCTGTAGCAGTAGCGACGACTTGGTCAGCAAGACCGCACCCACACGCATCTCTGTATGTCCGTATCTGTCTGTCTGTCTGTCTGCGTCTGTGTGTTAGGATGATGATGATCTTCATGAGCCGCGGCGCGCGAAGGCCGCCAGGGCACCGAAGGCCAAGGTGACGCCCAGGCAGCGGCAGGTGCAGGCGCCGTCATCGGACCACACGGACAGTAGAGACGACTTTGTAAGGGACGGAGGGAGGGAGGGAAGCCAACCATCTTCACACATGTCCGTGCCTGTGTCTGGTCTGTGTGTGTGTCACAGGAGGATGATGATGAGTCTGAGGAGGACGAGCGAGCGGCCAGGAAGCGCCGCCGCAAGGCCCAGCCCGCCCCGCCTGCCGACCCAGCCCCCATTGTGATCAGCAGCAGCAGCGAGGACGACAAGGACAAGCAGCCACCCAACACCACCACCAAGCCCAATGGAGAGGGCGGCGACGTGCCGATGGTGGCGGCGGCGGCTGCAGCCGCAGGGGCGGCCGGGCAGCAGCAGCAGCAAGGGGGTCAGCTTGAGGAGTCTTCGGACTCCGAAGACTCGCACGCCGACGTCGCTCTCGTGCGGCTGCACAAGACGTCCGTCGACATCCCATGCCAGCAGCAGGCCAAACAGGCAACCAAACCCCCCACCACCCACTGCCACCTCCACCCCCACAACACACGAGACACGCTGTTTATGCTGTCACACATGCAGGTGGTGGGCGCCCTTCGGGAATGGCCCCGCAACGGTCCTGCCCCGGCCATGCAGACCCTCACAGACATGCTCATGGGCCGCAGCAAAGTCGACAAGCGGCTCCAGCAGTTGCCGGCCTTTGCGGCCATGAAGCGGCCAGAGGGCGAGAAGGGCAAGAAGGGCAAGAAGGGCCAGGGGAAGCACCTCTGGACGGAGGAAGCCATCAAAACATTCCTCAGGATACTCGTGATGCACCAGGTAGGTCAACTGGATGGGTGGGGATGTCTGTTGTATCTGTGTCAGCAAT